GGAGAAATGGGAAAATCAAAAAATAGATTAATTGAGAAATTGGAAAACTGGAATTTTAGCAATGTCAAAATTAGAAAAATTGAAAAGTAGAAACACTGAAGAACTGTAAAATCAAAAAATCGAGAAAACGAAAATCTCAAATTTAAAACATTGGACAATTAACATATCACAAAACTGAAAAATCGAGAATTCCAAACATTAAAAAATCAAAAAGAAAAAATTCGAAAATTTAAAAATCGAAAAACTGAAAAATGAACAAATCGAGAAATGGGAACTCCTGAAGTAAAACATTGAAAAATCGGATAATTGAAAAATCAACACATCGAAAACTTGAAAAATCGAAAAATTGGAAAGCCAAAAAGTAAAAAATCGAAGCATCGATAAATCCAAAAATTGAGACATCAAGAAATCGAAAAATCAGGAGTCGAAAGCTGAGAAGTAAAGTTAAAAATTGAGAAATTGATAAATCTTGAAAGAGAACAATCAACACATCGAAACATCTGAATTCAATAAATCGATAAATCGTAAAATTTTAAAAAGAAATTTCGGAAAATCGAAAATTTCAAAATTCGGAAAATTGAAAAATTGAAAACTTGATAAATCGAAAAACCTAGAATTTTACAAATTGAAAACTTCAACATCGAAAAGTTGAAAAATTGAGAAATCGAAGTATAAAACAGTCGAAAAATTCAAAAATCTAAAGTTTAACGAAAAATTGAAAATACAAAAAGGAGAAAATCCAGAAATCAAAAAAAATCCAGGCGTACAAAAATCAAAAAGTCGAAAAATCGAAATATTGAAAAATCCCAAAAATGAGAAATTCAAAAATTGGAAAATTGAGAAATTGAAAAACCAATAAAGCAATGTCGAAAAATCGAAGAATTAAAGAACTGAAAAATCGAAACTTTGCGAAGTGGAGAAATGGAAAAATCAAAAATAGATTAATTGAGAAATCGGAAAACTGGAAATTTAGCAATGTCGAAATATGAAAAATTGAAAACTAGAATTACTGAAGAACTGAAAAATCAAAAAATCGAGAAATCGTAAAACTTCAAATCTAAAACATTGATCAATTAACATATCGCAAATCTGAAAAATCGAGAAACCCAAACATTAAAAAATCAAAAAGTAAAAATTCGAAAATCTAAAATTTAAAAATCGAAAAATTGAAAAATCAACAAATCGAGAAATGGGAACTCCAGAATTAGATTGAAAAATCGGATAATTGAAAAGACCACACATCGAAAACTTGGAAAATCGAAAAATTGAAAAGCCAAAAAGTAAAAAATCGAAACATCGATAAATTCAGAAACTGAGATACCGAGAAATCGAAAAATCAGGAGTCGAAAGCTGAGAAGCAAAGTTAAAATTTGAAAAATTGATAAATCTTGAAACAGAATAATCAAAACGTCGAAACATCTGAATTCAATAAATCGAGAAATCGAAAAATTTTAAAATGAAACATCGGAAAATCGAAAATTTTAAAATTCGGAAAATTGAAAAATTGAAATATACATAGAATAACTGAAAACTCGATAAATCGAAAAACCTAGAATTTTACAAATTGAAAACTTAAAACATCGAAAAGTGGAAAAATTGATAAATCGAAGTATAAAACAGTCGAAAAATTGAAAAATCTAAAGTTTAACGAAAAATGGAAAATACAAAAAGGTGAAAATCGAGAAATCAAAAAAAATCCAGGCGTACAAAAATCAAAAAGTCGAAAAAACGAAATATTGAAAAATCCTAAAAATGAGAAATTCAAAAGTTGGAAATTTGAGAAATTGAAAAACCAATTAAGCAATGTCGAAAAATCGAAGAATTGAAGAACTGAAAAATCGAAACTTTGCGAAGTGGAGAAACGAGAAAATCAAAAAATAGATTAATTGAGAAATCAGAAAACTGGAAATTTAGCATCGTCAAAATTAGAAAAATTGAAAAATAGAAATACTGAAGAACTGAAAAATCAAAAAATCGAGAAAACGAAAAATCTCAAATTTAAAACATTGAACAATTAGCATATCGGAAAACTGAAAAATCGAGAAATCCAAACATTAAAAAATCGAAAAACTGAAAAATCAACAAATCGAGAAATCGGAACTCCAGAATTTAAAAATTGAAAAATCGGATAATTAAAATATCCACACATCGAAAAATTGGAAAATCGAAAAATTGAAAAGCCAAAAAGTATAAAATCGAAACATCGATAAATTCAGAAACTGAGACGTCGAGAAATCGAAAAATCAGGAGTCGAAAGCCGAGAAGAAAAGTTAAAAATTGAAAAATTGATAAATCTTAAAACTTGAAATAGAACAATTAAAACATCGAAACATCTGAATTCAATAAATCGAGAAATCGAAAAATTTTAAAAAGAAACATTGGAAAATCAAAAATTTCAAAATTCGGAAAATTGAAAAATGGAAATATACATAGAATAACGGAAAACTCGATAAACTGAAAAACCTAGAATTTTACAAATTGAAAACTTAAACATCGAAAAGTGGAAAAATTGAGAAATCGAAGTATAAAACAGTCGAAAAATTGAAAAATCTAAAGTTTAACGAAAAATTGAAAATACAAAAAGTAGAAAATCGAGAATTCAAAAAAAATCCAGGCGTACAAAAATCAAAAATTCGAAAAATCGATAAATTGAAAAATCCCAAAAATGAGAAATTCAAAAATTGGAAAATTGAGAAATTGAAAAACCAATAAAGCAATGTCGAAAAATCGAAGAATTGAAGAACTGAATAATCGAAACTTTGCGTAGTGGAGAAACGGGAAAATCAAAAAATAGATTAATTGAGAAATCGGAAAACTGGAAATTTAGCAACGTCAAAATTAGAAAAATTGAAAAATAGAAATACTGAAGAACTGAAGAATCAAAAAATCGAGAAAACGAAAAATCTCAAATTTAAAACATTGAACAATTAACATATCACAAAACTGAAAAATCGAGAAATCCAAACATTAAAAAATCAAAAAGTAAAAATTCGAAAACCTAAAATTTAAAATTCGGAAAATTGCAAAATTCTAATATACATAGAATAACTGAAAACTCGATAAATCGAAAAACCTAGAATTTTAAAAATTGAAAACTTAAAACATCGAAAAGTGGAAAAAGTGAGAAATCAAAGTATAAAACAGTCGAAAAATTGAAAATACAAAAAGGAGAAAATCAAGAAATCAAAAAAAAAATCCAGGCGTGAAAAATCAAAAAGTCGAAAAATCGAAATATTGAAACATCCCAAAAATGAGAAATTAAAAATTTGGAAAATTGAGAAATCGAAAAACTAAAACAGCAAAGTCGAAAAATCGTATGCTTAAAAAATCTAAAAATTGGAAAATCAAAAAAATTGAAAAATCGAAAAATCGAAGAATTGAAGAGGTGAAAAATCGGAATATTTAAAAACCATAAAATGGAATAGGACAAAAATTGAGAAATCGTATCATTGAAACATCGGAAAATTGAGAAGTCGAAAAACAAAAAAATCGAGAAATCTAAAATTTGAAGATTTAAAAAATTGAAAAAGACCAAAATTGAAATATTGAAAAATCTAGAAACCCAAAACCCAAAAAATCGCAATCGCGTATTTATAAACCACAAGTTCAGGACTATGCTACTTTTTAACATTTAAATAACATGTATTCGACAAAATTGTAAGATGACTTCAACAATTCCTGGGGGGCATGAACGGATAAATTTTGACTAACGATTTAACATGCTTCCAATAACTATAAATTGGAAAAAGTTGTTGATTTTTTTCCAAAAATTTTTACGTCTAGGTAAAAACTCAACACGGATTCATAAACCGTAAACGAATGATATCAAATTTAAATTACTTAGTTCACTTTAAATTCTGACCAGATGGTCGAAACGGGTTCATTCTTCGTAGTGGATGTGTATCGGATAGATCAGCTCTAACGAAAGTCGGTTTATAGACAAATCGCTTAGAGTCGATATTGGCCTGAGTGCGCTCTGGTCTGTAGATCAAACAAGTTCTCAGGCGACTACATGACAAACCGACAAATTTTAACTAGAAACCGTGTGTTCGGATCTCGTCACGCGCCGTTTTTTTTTTTTTAATAAGTTCAAATTCTAACTCTTTCGAATTGATAACGTTGACAGAAAGAATATTAAAATTACTTAAATTATTATTTACGCTACACTCATGAAATTCAACCAACAAGGAATTTACATGAGGTTGAATTATACGTCAAAATGCACATCACATACAAAAAAAACACATATTCACTACCATCAAAATCACAATAAGCTGGTCTCGGAAACGCTCGCCATACTTCGAGAACGCGCTCTCGGGACACTTCAGGAATAAATGCTCAAATTCAAGCCGCAAGAAAATTATTAAACCTGCAACTTGAAACACACTCTTAATATTACGCTGTTTATAAAAAACCACTACACAAAAACTACTTCATTTTCTTAAATAAAAAACCCATCGAGCCTTGACTGTTTATTTTAAAACAGACAAGTTAAAAACTGTTTATGAAACCGTTATTATTAACGAATCATTCATATTTTGGCGGCGTCCTATTTTTATTCACGAACCGAAATCGCTAGGTTCATTAAACCAACGCATGATTTATGATCTCTTCAATCGTAGCAAATTCATCCGTTATCATAAATAAAATTGAACACATTTTTGAAATCTTATATGGTATAATTGAGAGTTATAAATGAATTAGGCCATTAATCCCTACATTTTTCTGTTAATTGCAGTTTTGCACATCCTTTTAATTTTCCCCCATACAGTGAAAATTTATCCAGAATTTATTATTAGGAGTTCTGCAAAGCTCCAGTCGAACTCTGTTGCTTTATATTTGGTTTACAAGTGATCTTTACTAATTAAAATCGGATTAGAGACTAACGTAGTAATTAGGTAATTATGGGTATGTAATTAATGAGTATCTCCTTGGCACAACGGACCTATAGTAGTTTTTTGCACATTATTTAGCACTCACCACCACCTTTTTCTCCACAGAAATCCCGTTATGCGGAAGAAGACATGCCACCCCCACCGTCACCCCCCCTACTTCGCGAGACTGTACCCCACGACGGCATCTCCCGCCAAGGCTCCCTAGAACGAGGCGGTCGCAGAAAAAGCTCAATAGACAGAGATCAAATCATCAAAGAAACACACAAGCCGGTGAGTCAAATCAACTCCACCACGAAAAACAGACCGCTCGCCTTTGCCAAGAACTCTAATTCTTTAAAGACCGCCTCAGCCAAAGGGAAATAATCCCGTGCTTCCACGAAAATCGCTTATCGGTTAACTCAAAATTAACTCGAGCCATAAATCACGTCGCTATCAATATGAGAAGTGAGTAATGTTTGAAATCGACGTAAGAAAAAATAGTCGTGCGATTTATTTTAATTGACGTTTATGAGTTGGCAATCGGCCATTCGATATGTTTCTGCTGGCGCAACATAGGAAAGTCTTAATTTCCAGGTCGCATGACATCGATTGGTCAATGGAGTGATAGTTGCATGCTGAAAAGAACGTGACACAGGTGTTTACCACCTGGCCGGAAGGATTCATCCACGCCGAATCGTAAACTAATTAATTACGTTTTAGCACAAACAGGCTTTCAATTGTACTGAAGCGATAAATCTGGGAAATTTATGCCTATTTCCCTTGGCTGTGGCAAGCGGTGGGCGGAAAAGCGGTTAGACAAAAATGAAAGGGATCTTTACGGGCTAAAATAGCCTCGGGAGTTTGAAAATCGGCTAGTACTAGTGCCAACTCACGTTTTCAAACTTTGAACTTGAAGTTCAAAAACGACGAGGTTGAAGACCTCGCGATATAAAACAAACATTAACAGCCGAATTGACTTTTAAAATAGACTTTTCTCGACTTTTAAGTGGGACATAAAGTGTTTTCGTCTCTGGCGGGTTTATGCTTTATGATTTACTATGTAAATACTAAATGTTTGATTTATGTCTCGTATTAAAAGTTTCAAATTTGCGTCAACGTCGTGTTTTTGTTTTTGTGAAGATTTACTTTTCGTTTTCTTTGACACAAAAGTTAATAAACATTTCGCGCTTTATACTTTAATCCTGGAATATTACAAAATTGGTTGATAATTTAGAGCACAGTTGACAAAAATTGAGGTCGGTGCCAAGAAAAACTACCGTAATGTGGTTCAGTCAAGTTTGTAAGCAATTTATAACAAAAAAATGTTTAAAAATTACGTAACTATTTCGAAATTTTAATTCCCGAATTTAAATCAGTTTAAACAAAAATACCTAACCACTGATGTACTACAAGTCGATATATCCGGTGCATTATTCGATATTCGTGTTTATTTTAAGCAAACATTGCCATTACTAACAGGCGTCCTGTAAATTTTAAAATGGCTTCAGGAAGTTTGGTCATTTGCATAAAATAAACTTATTCCTTTATATTTTTAGACGTTGCTTTTATACCTACCTTAATTGAAATGGTGATGTGTGAATTCCATAATAATTCATTATTTGGAGTCTCATTCTTTTTGTTATTTTTTTGTAAAGTTTAAAATGAAAAGGTTTTATTATAGGATTGTATTCAGAATGGCACTCAGTATATCGTGTGCTAACGCATATCGCCTGTTTTTAAAAACATCTGAACCAAACATCCTTTCCACCAACGCACTGAACATGGAAGGATTGGACCGTATTTTACAAACAGTTTTTATGAAGTGCTCAATTTAAAAAAAAATCGTTATATTTTAGGGACTATTTTTGAATTGTCTCTCCGAGTGTTGTTTCAACTCTTGATATAACTTATTATCTATCAACATATGTTGGATAATGTGGAGAAATTTGTTGTTTTTTTTTTCTCTGAAAGTGTCTACTTCCAACTAAATTGTTCCTTGCATGGAACTGGAAACTACCCAACAAAGTTTTTCCACCAAGCATGTTGAAATCTATAATTATATGGATTTGATAGTGAAGTATCTAAACGCTTAATCGATTTTTCTTGCCTTGGCACAATATCATGAATTAGTGAAGATAATAGCAGCATACAACACTGCACTTAATTGTTAATTATGCATTTCTGTTGCAATTCAATGTTGGGGAAATTGTTCGGTGTGATGTAGTTATTAGGTAACCCATGTATACGATACATACATAATTTTTTCGTTGAAACAGATCTAATACAAGGATTAAAGCTTTTCTCACCTCTAACCTAACACGATTAATGTTATCGTCTCATTTACTTATTTGTATGATATATTCTTAAAAGACATCCAACGTATGCTATAATTTTTTATTCAGCTAGTCGAAATTTGTCTCTTAAAAAAATTATTTTGTTAATTTTGATTTCAAAAATTTCTGCGATTTCGAAAAATTCAGTTTGACCCGGAATACTCTATTTATGCGTAGATGTGATTTTTTCATTACTTTTTCCCCCAAAAAATGCCAGGATTGGTCCTGAATTTTCGATGATGGGTGGTTCGGCATCATCAACATTTTTTTTCCAAAATCGGCAAAAAATTTGAATTTGAAACTCAATATTTCGAAAACCAGTCGTCGTATTGACTTGGAATTATCCTTTTCTTAATTCCTGGGTAAACACATTTTTTTTATAACTTTTGGTTTTTTAGTTTTTCCGGAATAGCGGTAGATAGCTTGTTTGAGGAAACTGATACGATTGGTCCCATATTTACGATCTTCGTTTCCAGTCTTGATCCAAAACTATCAAGTTGCTATATTTTTGATCCAGTTTGCCGAAATCTATCTATTTTATATGCATTTTTTTGGCAACTTCGCGAAAAATCCCTTTTTTTATATCCTGATTTGTAACTTTTTTAAATTTTGGAAGTTTTCTCCGAACACCGCCAAAAATTACCAAAGAAATTTGTTTGTTAATTTTAAAATCCACAAGCTTCTCACGGCTTCGTTTCTTTGACAATTCCTACCGCTTTTACCGAATCATCAAAATTAAATATGAGATATTTGAAGATATTTCAAAAGTTCGATTTTGAACAGGAATATTTCGAAAACTGGAACTTGAATTAGTTTCATAGATAAACGTATCATTGCTGCACAGACGTGAGTTCGTTCATAATTTTTGGTCATCCGGAGTGTCTCTAGATTGCTTTTTTGACAAAACTGAAATAATTGGTCTTATATTTTCGATTTTCGCTTTCATTGTTATTCCAGGACTATCGGCGTGCTATATTTTCGATTCAGATCGTAGAAATTTACCTTTCGGATTTTTTATGCAGTTTTTGATAATTTCAAGAAAAAACTCGTTTTTTCTGTATCCCGTGGCCTTTCTCCGAACAACATCAAAAATTACCAGAAAAATGTCTTGTTAATTCTGAGCTTCAGAAGCTTCTTACGACTTCATTTCTTTGAAAATTCCTATCATTTTTTCCGAATCACCAAAATTAAATCTGACGAATTTTAAAATACTTCAAAAATTAGATTTTGGAGAGGAATATTTTCAATTATGCGCGGACGTATTTTTTTTTTCATAATTTTTGGCGACCCACTTTTTCCGAACTAGCGCTGGATGGCTTATTTGACAAAACTAAAACTAATAGTATGATTGGTCCCATAGGTTCAATTTTCATTTCCAGCCTGGATCCAGGATTATCAGTGTGCGATATTTTTTGATTCAGCTTGTCGAAATGTACTTCTCACATTTTTTGTGCATTTTTTGCGCAAAAAAAGATCGATATGTAAAACTTCTGATATCTCCCCGATCTTCGTCGAAAATTACCAAAAAAAGATGTTTTTGCTACTTTTGAAATTCAAAAATTTCTTACGGCTTTATTTCTACCACTTATACAGAATCACCAAAATTAGATGCGATAAATTTTGAGTTGTTTCAAAAATTTGTATCAAAATATCCACTTGGATTAAATTTCCCTACCGATGCATTATTTCTGCGCAGATTTTTTTTCATTATTTTTGGTCTTCCAGTTTTTTCGGAAGCGAGCTAAATACATCTTTTTTCAATTACGGTCCCTCAACGTTCATCTAAAACCATTGACACGATATGTTTTTGAATTTAGCTCGTCGAAATCTATCTGCCAGATTTTTTTGTGAATTTTTAGGCAACTTCGTTAAAAGCTTAATTGTTCAGTACCCTCGTTGAAAATTTTCGCATTTCCTTGAGTACTCTCAAAATTTATCAATGCAGGCTTTTTTTAATTTCGATATCTTGAACTTTTGAGGTTTCAAATTTGGCCTTTTCGAAAAAATTCATTTTTTAAATATCGTGGTTCGTAAAAATTATAATCTTTTTTCGAGCACTGAGAAATTGCCAAAAGATTTGTTTTGCTAATTTTGAACTCCGACGGTTTCTTGTGATCTCATTTCTTCAAGAATTTCCACCATTTTTCCAAAATAGCCAAAATGAAGTTTGGTGTTTTTGAGATATTTTAAAACTTTAAATTTGATACCGAATATTTCAAAAACCAGTCGTGTATCAATTTGGGATTAATCTTCCTCATGGGCTCGTCATTTCTGCGTAGACTTCATTTTTTTAACAATTTTTGGACTTTCAGTTTTTCCCCAATAACGCTAAGTAGCTTTTTTGATAAAATTGATACGATTGGTTCCATATTTTCGGTTTTCGTCACCAATCTTGCGCCAGAACCATCAAAATGCTATATTTCTGAATCAGCTGTTCGAAATCTATCTCATAGAATTTTTTATGAAATTTTTGAAAAAGCTCATTTTTTTAAATCCTCGTTTGTAAAGATTTTTACCTTTTCTCGAGCACCGAGAAATTTTCAAAACATTTCTTTTGTTAATTTTAAACTCCCACAGTGTTTTATGGTTCATTTCATCGAAAATTCTTATCATTTTTCGCGAATCACAAAATTAAATATGTATGATACATTTTAAAATATTTCAAAAATTCTAATTTACACCGGAATATTTCGAAAACCGGTAGTCATAACGATCTTAAATTAATCTCACACATAATTTCTGGGCAGACGTATTTTTTTGTACTTATTGTTTTCGGTTTTTTTTCAAAATCGAGCTAAATACGTCCTTAACAAAAACGTCAATGTAGGTCCGAATTTTTTAATTATGACCCCCAATCTTCGTCTAGTCTAGAATATGTCTTCGAATTTAGCTCGGCGAAATCTATCTCCTAGATTTTTTGTGGATTTTTAGACAATTTCATGAAAAGCTCAGTTTTTC